CTCTCTCTCTCTCTCTCTCTCTCTCTCTCTCTCTGCAGGATTCAGACAACAATTATCATGTTGTTATTGTCAACATCATCATCAACTGTTGCTACTATCATTAATAAAATCTTTTTATTTATAGATATCACTCTTCATCAACTACTGTGTCAGAGCTGAAACATGATGGTTACACAACTGTTCCTGCTCTCTCCACTCTCTCTATTAGAAGTATCACAGACAGAACGTTAAGGTGATAAATGTAAGAGGGAGCGTACTCTTAAAAGAGCTGGAAACATGTACTTAAGAACATGTACCTTTAGCAACATATACTTAAAGCTCAGTGTGTGTATGTGCAACATAAAGAAAATGTGTGAATCACTCAACCCAGTGAGGAAGCAGTAACATCACTGAGAAGACGCTACGGCCAATACGCACAGGCACGAACACATGCCAACTCCTACTTCAACAAACTGTGTACACTGAGAGACCTGCGAGTAAATCTACAGACAACACTATGAAGAAACAGCTCCAAGCTGATAGGAGGCTCAGACAGTGGCCACCATCACGTCGTCCTCCTGCGACAAACTGGATGTCTGTCTAAAAATAAAAAAACTTGCCGTCAAAGCTGCCGATCGAGTCGGCCTGCATTCTGTGTGTGAGGAGAAGCTTCCAAAGCAGCCTGTTATCAGATAAAGATACTGTCCAGTATCCAAAGATACTGTCCAGCACTGTCCAGCATTAGATTTACTCGCAGGGTCTCAGTCTACACAGTTTGTTGAAGTAGGAGTTGGCGTGTGTTCGTGCCTGTGCATATTGGCCGTAGCGTCTTCTCAGTGATGTTACTGCTTCCTCACTGGGCTGAGTGATTCACACATTTTCTTTATGTTGCACATACACAGCTGCCTGGGCAACTTCCCCACATGATCTCAACAGTTTGTCCATTGTTCCTAAAGTTAAACTCATATAGCTGAGACAGAGGAAGATTCAAATCAGTCCTCAAGCTGCACAGGGACCTCCCCAAACCTTTTCTTTTTATCTTATGCTTGCAATAAGCAAGACATTGTTTCAGCTCGACCACCTAACTCCCTCCTCCTGGTACTCATCAATTTACATGCATTACACATCACATTAAATCTGGCCAGCAATCTGGGTTAACTTACTCACACAACTCCAAATGCAGGCCATGCAATCCAGACTGGGAGGGAGAGTTTAAAAACAACTGTCACATTCTCACTCAAATCTTTGTGTCTCTGTGATCTGTCAGTCTAAAAGAAATAGTGAGGAAATTAAAAATTCTTGATTGGTGATTGTTCAAATGAATTTCACCAGTGAGCTTAATGACCAGACCTGACAGTATTTTACAACTGTTCACAGTTGTCATCACCTTCATTTTTGGTCAAACAATAACATAAAGCTGCATCCTCCAGCTTTCAAAAGCGATACCAGTGTATGTAGGTCATGAAACACACATTTTTGTCTGTCAGCACCAATAGGTACTTTCATAACACAAGACAGACACAGATTTTATTGCACGTGTTCCTGTCTTCATGTTTGTCTCTTCATCTCCTCCTACGTTATGAGTAGAGATGTTTCGGTACCAATATCAACATCGACAATGCCCCTGATACTGCCAAAATGCTGGTTCCGGCTTCAGCAAGTATATAAATCAATGCTCCAATCAGATACCATGCCTTTAAAGTACAATAGTTTCACCCAGATAAAACTATGTGCTGTACTGCCACTGGTAAGTACTAGTTTTAGAGCAATGACCAAGATGTGACATCCTGTAGTGTAGCATTAGTCAGAGCTAAATAAATGTAAGCAATTTGCTTGCTGGGGATCAGGGGATACACAAAGTATCAGAATCAGTATCTGGAAGGTAAAATTCTATGGGAACATCTCCAGGTGTGAGGCACTCGATTGTCTGGTCCCATATTTCAATAATTATTTGGGATCAATAAAGTGTATCAATCTATCTATATATCACACCAACCCACCAGCTTGGAGGCAGGAAGTGTGCTGGGGTGCGATCCACTCAGAGTGATGGGCGTTGAGAGGAGGCTTTGGTGGCAGTGAATAGGGTACTAATGAGTTGGCCTGATCAATGGCCGGTCTGTATTCTGTCCTCCCTAATGGCCGGGGGGGAGGACATCAACAGGGCTGTGGATGCTCCATGTAAACATCTCAGCCACTTCCCCGTGTGGGCCCTCCACTTCAACCATCTCACTGGGCTCCATGATCTAATTGGGACGACACCAGCAAATGTTCCCAAGCTCATCCATGTCATAATGGACTCATGTGAAGGCGGTGGCCGATCTAGAGATCTAGAAAAGTGCTCTCCAAAATAAGTCATTATGTGGCAAACACAGTGGATGGGGATTGTGGGTAATAACGAGGGCAGAAGGCCTTGAAAGCAACACTCACCTGTTGAATAGCGTGTGTGTGTGAGTGCGTGTGTGTGTGTATTATCAGCGACTGAGACCAACTGTTGCTCCAGGTTACTGCTCGCTGTTGTTGTGACAGTGTACCGACACATGGAGGTCTTACCTGGCCGGGTAACGTGCACTCAGGTGTCGCCGGGTCTCCTTCCACTGAAGCCAACACTCTCTCCGTCCACAGACAGGGAGGAGAGCCCCTTCTCTCTTTCTTTCTCTCCCTCTGCTCTGCTCCGTCGCTCCCGGCGCAATGCCACAACTCCAGCCGTGTGTTGACACCACAGACCGGGGAGAACTGGCTCTACATGGACTCTGCTGTCGACGTCAGAGCTGCCGGAGTCGCGCCGCGTTCACTTTCCGCTGGTGGTCTGAAGTCAATGTTTAACTATGGTTGACTCCTTTTATTCTTCCGCTCTGCTCCTCTGCTCCTCTTCTCTCCTCCTCCACTTGAACGCTCCGTGACGGGAACAGCAGAGTCTGGTCGGGAGGAGAGAGGCGGAACCAGCCGATGTTCTCCAGCGTCAAGCGTCAAACTGCTGACAACACAACTTCAATACTTTTCACAATAATGCACTGTTTTTAAAATGTCTTTCTGTTTGTGAAGCCCAGGTTTATACGAGTATAAAAATAAGAAAGGTGTAAATACATTAAAACGCGATCAGATTTCGAGTCAGTGAAAGTTCTAGACAAATCATGGAGACTTCATCCTGCTTTATTTGTTAAATGTTCATGTATTTAAGATTAGTTATGTGCTTCTCTAAAAGTTGAGAACATTTGAACAGTCTTTGAGAAGACTATTTTTTATTAAAAAGTTATAAACTGTTAGGTTCATGTCTGAAGGAAAGACATTTGCAGGATTATCATTTCCCTCTGAAATATAGAAGAAATAAACGGTCTCCATCCTAATAAATACTAGTAACAATAGATTAAAATTGCTTTACATATGTTATATATACATACTTTTTGATAGACTTATAAATGCAAATGTAAGGTCGTCACCAAAATATTATTTTCAGAATATACACACAAAAAATCTAAATACAAGAAACACGACTTCCTGTTGCATAGAAGTCTGTCTAACTTAACTGAGCTAAGAAAGGTTGTTGTTCTGCGATCAGCCTGACAGAGGCGCAGTCTCCCTGCAACTGTACAGCATCCCTCAAAGCTCAGTTCACAAAAAACTAAATAAAACTTGTCAAGGTTCAAATGATTACATTCTTTATACAATCATCAGTGTAGGATGAGTTAGAGTAAATCAGTTACTGAATATTACACATTACACTAAAATGTGTCTTTCAGTTTCTGGTGAATAAGACTGAAGATAAGAATGTGTATATAAACACTACACAAAAAACACAAAATGATTTTAAGTAAAATGTCTTTTATTTAAATGAGCATAGAAAGCAAAATAAAAACTAACCAAGGCTACAGTCGACTTCAAAACATTGATAGAGCTTGATGCATACATTAGTGCAGTTGAAAACAAGCACTTTATAAAAAATATATATCTACATTGTAACATAATGACCGTACAGTATGCATGTCCCTAAGTAGCTATGTGGTCTGTACCTTTCCCCCAATGATAAAAAACACTCCACCAATTGAAAGACTAAGATTGATAGCAGTACACCGCATGATCTACTTTCTATGGAAGAGTATGAATATGTGATAGGCTATAAATGCTTCGATACAACAGGCAATAAGGTAGAAAATCAAAGTGAGTGGCTGTATGGTATCCTCAGACTTTAAGCTGTCCGTCTTGGTCAGACGCTTGGGTCTTGACATACCACTCAAGCTTAACCACACCATCTGAAAACAGGAGGAGCGCAGCTGCTGTGAAATGCAGTTTCTGACTCTTTACCCTCAAATCTCTTCATAAAACAGCTTCTCAGTACCTGTCAAAAGCATTGTGCAACATCAACAAATACAATATAGTTAACATAAAGTATGAAATGTAAGAATGAAAAGGGCTGATAGGAGTGTTGAGAACATTCATCCTTCGGAGATACATTAGGAAGTAGGGGAACAGGGTGCTGCCTAATAGACATACACCTGAGGGTTTGGTGTAGGGAGGGGGGGGCGGGTGATGTGGGACCACTGGGTACATGCAAGGTGGATCTGCTGTTTCAGTGCCAGGCAATGTAAAGAGAAAAGCCCCTTTGATTAAATATACACATATAAAGGGAGGGGATCAGTGGAGCAGCAGGTAAAAGAGGGACGTCTCTATAACAGTAGGAAGTTTATTCCTTGGCCAATTTGCCAGTCATCCTGTAGATCTCAGTGGGACCTTCGACATGGGTGACGGTAGTGGTCAGCTGGATGTCTTCTCCACTGTTTGCTCCAGCATCTCCTGCACATCGTCAACATCATAAATAATATTATGTATTTTATTACATATAACTTTTAATCAACTTTACTTCTGGATTCCTGCTGTTTCCATCTACGGACGGCCATGTTCAGATCTGATATTAAGATCTGTCCTGATATGTCTCCTGTGACTTGTGATCGGATCTTACTTCTGTCATTTGTGTTATATTATAACACCAAATTATATTGTTCTTCACCTAATTTGAGTTTATAGACATGTTTGATGACAATGTTTGTGTGTGTCGATGCAAGTGAGAGATAGAGGAGAGAAAGTAGGGACTGAATGAGTGAATGTTTGCAGCTATGAGGAAAGATTTTGCCAATTTAAGAAAAATATTAATATTTGGTAATCCGTGTTGTTGCTGCTGCTGTAGCGGGTTAGAGGACTTCAGCTGAGTCGACAGCCCTTCCTATGTGGCCCAGGGCACATTTGTGTTCACACAGCGAAAAGAATGTGGCCACATGAGTCTGAGACCACTTCTGATGTGGTCTGAGTGATTAGATCTCAGGATGCAGTGAAGACGCATTTGTGTGGATTTCATAAACTTAACTTACAGCCTGTTTGAAACAGAAGTGAAACTCAAGAGCTGATGAAGTAAATCAACACAGAGAGACTGAAACTTGGAGGAAGGCACTCCTCCCTGTGAGATTGCTTAACATACGTCCAGGAAAGCCTCTGGAACTTCAACTCATGTTTTTCTCCCCCTTGTCACTGACGTCAGGAGATGGATGGTTTTCATTACTCCCCTGCTCTCAGCCCCACCCACTCTCCTGCCTCTTCCCCTCCTTTCTGTCTGGACGTAAGCCTGGTGTCCATTAGAATCACCCTCTCAGGCCAAAGAGACCCTTCTTTCCCATGGAAATCCTTCTCAATTCACCCCCCCCTCCTACCAAAAACAAACTTTAGATGAAGAGGCAGCTTTAAAGCAGAGGACAGATGACGTCAGAATAAGGGGCGAGAGCAACGAGTAGATTACTGAAATTCAACCAATCTCACGACTTAAGTCAACACAATGACAAGATAATATTCACTTTTTTGTCAAGCTTCTAAATGTTAACAGTAACGATAGCCGTTTCCCCTCATTAGGAAAAAGTAATGTTTCACCCAGGCCTATTATAAAACAGAAATGGCAGGTCAAAGAAATATATAGTTACCAGTGATGCACTGACCATTTGATTGCTCGTCTCCATAGTGTTTGTGTGACGGTGCGTAGAGGAACATGATTGCGAAAACGTACAGGTTCCACATGCCGTAGATACCAGTGAAGAAGGCGCTGTTCACCTGCACAGTGTGCTCTCCCCAGTGCCAGTGACCCTCATTCACCTGGATAAGAAACAAATTAACTCTTTTAAAAACCATTATGTCCTATCTAACTGGTACTAAATGATGAGGTCAACACTTCAAATTGCATCACTTTATCAACAAGACTCACCTGACTGATGATGAAGAAGATGACCGTCATGGCAGCACAGAACAGAGTGACCAACATGAGGAACTTGAACCTGAAAATCAGACCCTAAAGAACGATAAAGGAGAGTTAAAAGACCTAATACATATAGCAGAGCAACGTCCTTCCATTTTCATTATCTTTAATTATGTTTGAGCAATGATTTAAAAATATAGGGGTCAAACACGAGGAACAGATGAATACACACCTCGTAGTGCAGGCGTCTGGCCTTGGACATGGCGGGCAGGGACGACCTCTTGCCGCTGATATTGCGGAAGACTTGAAAAACCATGAAGCAGAGGAAGAGGAAGTAGAGGCAGGCACAGATTCCTGCCACGATTATAAATGCCATCTGAGACAACGGCAGTTAAGTAAACACACACTAAAATGAATCTGCCAACAGTGTTGCAACATACTGTCCTCTTTTAGAATATATGTATATTTACATACATTGCAAGTGTGTGGTCTTTCAGTTTGAGAGCAGGGCTTAGTGCACCAGAGTGTGATATTCCAGACAGTATACATTGTAAACCCAAGGGCTGATAAATAGAGAGTACAACAGATATAAAAGGTTTCACAGAAACTAGCTTTATAGTCGTTTTTATAAAGTTTAATCAATAACATGAATAATATAAATCTGTGTCTCATTTATAATACCATGGCACTCTTGACTGCAGGAGGAGGCAGAGCAGAAACTTTGATGTTTTGATGACCCTGGTTATAAGCACTGTACCAAATGTCTTTGTCAAAGCAGAGTCAGAAATACAAGGATGATTTGATAATTTCAGAGAGAAAAAAGGAGGAAGAGGAGCAAAGACTGGGAAAAGAGGTAGTTTTGGCAGTTGTTTGTGTGCTGATGACTCTAGTTTCGCTCAGCGCGGCAAGCAAGGCAAACAGATACACAAACAGATCATCCCAAGACCCTGGGCAATACTTTCACATATGGCATTACTGAATTATTTCTCATCTATCAGTCTGCAGATCAGTTTGCAGTTTGTGCCGCAGTGAAGCCAGAGCATTAAGGCTTGACGACAAAAAAACAATAAAAGCTTTGTTTTTGGTGTTTGAACAACAGGAACCATAAACTTGCGCACTGGCTGCTAAATTGGCCATTTACACTCTCACAGGGTTTTTAAATCAGCCTCTTACACATCTGATTAATTCACATTTGATGAAAGCTTTTTTTGTTAATGTTGTCAAATATTTTTTTAAAAAAGGATACAGCCAGCTCGGTTCCTACATCAGACGCCCAGATGCTGTAGAAAGGGTTGGTCAGCTGGACACCTCTGACAAAACAAAACAGCATATTTATGTTTTATATTGACATTTGTTGCAAAAAACAATCATAAATGACAAGGTCTCATTTTAGGAGTCTTTGTTAAAATATACTGCATATATAAAAAAGTCAGTTGTACGAGGAGAAAAATCTTGGTCTCACCTCTCACACATGTCAAAGATGAAAAGGCAGATGGAGCCAAAGACGATGGGTCCGACCTGCTTCCAGTAAACTGAGAAACGGTTCCTCTCTGTTTGGTCCTAAGAGAAAAAGACAAAACTGTCCTAAATATTAAAATATACAAGGAAATATAACCTACTGCAAAATATAAAAATGTACTGTATATCAGTAAAGCTATAAATTGTATACTTAAATGCAGATAGTCCTATAGCTAATATCAACCAATTTATATTGGCTAACTGATAAATCCGTCACAGTGTCATATTTGCGTGTTTAAGTTTCCTGCAAGTGGTTCTCTCCTTTGTTTTTCTCAAATGATCTTTTTCCATCCACTCAAATCAATTTCAAAGAACTAAAAAAGGGGGAGGGAAATAATTTTTACGGTACAGTCTTGGTTACATCCGAAAAATGCTCGATCTACCTTATTTCAGTCCCATTTACAAGTCCCGCAATAGTTAAAACTCGAATACCTTAAGCACTAATTGGCTGCAAGGGAGATTGCAGGTGGAAAGCAAGCGTGCAGGTCAGTCAGAAAAACATCAAGCATTTAAAAATATTTGAAAGGTGCCAGGTACTGTACCATCAGGTGCTCCCCACAGAAGATGATCCAGAAGGAGAGCAACATGGAGTAGAAGATACCCTGTCTAATGTCTCCAAAGAGCAGCATCCATGTCCAGTTGAAGCCAATAGAAAACCACTCCACTGGGATGTTAATGAACGTCATTGAGATGCCCATCGCCAAGATTACCCTAAAAGGATCGAAAACAGTCTCAGAGCTATAATCTTTTAACAGCATAACCAACAACTGAAGAAAGGATATACAATTTTCTGATGCATCTGTGGCACCATAAATTTCCACCCTCTGCAGGTGTTTAAATATACATGTTTACATACATAATTATCCATGTTTATTGGACGAGACTAAACAAGTTACAACCACAGTGGAAAGTTTTTTTGTAACAAAAGAAATAGAGTGTTGGCAGATGAAAATTAGCCCCCATAGACTATCTAAAAAGGAACAACACGCCTCCACTTCCTGACACTATCCAGAAATTAAGCTATAATATCACAGATCGAACACCGCAATCTAGCGCAGTAAGAGCCAGAGTCACACTGATGTACATCAGTAATTCACCAAGTGGCAATGAAGACACTATGGCTTCCATTTTGGGGAGCAGTTATGTCACCAATCTTTAAATACAGTCAATGTTAGGACCAATTTAACTGACAACGTTACACAAGAATTTCTACTAAAGCTTTTGCACAGACACAATCAATGTTTTACAGCAAGCTTACGTCAACATTGGCTGGAAAAGGCTCATTAGATCTCGGGACGTTATTGATTAAATTATGCATTCAGGTACAAGCACGGCGTGTCCCCACTGACTAAACCAACTCTGCACAATTCACTACCTTCCTAAGTAGCGTCATTATTACACAAACCCTCCCTCAACCTTGAAATCCAGACATTTGAAGAGAAATAAGGGGTGAATGAATTAAGAACAATCAGTCTGCAGAGAGACAGAATAAAGCTAATCTTCAAAGAGTCTGCAGCAGGTTCCTGCATGCCACCAGAAGATGAAGGGATGATCATAAATAGTCAGATGAGAGGGCAAAACAGGGCTACTGTGTGTGTGTGTGTGTGTGTGTGTGTGTGTGTGTGTGTGTGTGTGTGTGTGTGTGTTCGTGCGAGAGAGAAAAGAAAACAAGAGAGAAAAATGCTGCAGGTAAAGGTGACCTTTTAATCATGAGGGTACAAAATGGTTTAGGCAAAGGCTGCGGGTGAACAGAGTGAAACCACATTTCAGTGGAATGTGGGGAATGTTTCCTGATCTCTACCAACACAGACAGAACTGAGACTGGGATCTCTCTGTGTCAATGTACGTTCGTGAAAATAAAAGACAAAAGGCTCCATATGAAAATCTCCTAAATTAATGTGGTAAATGGAATTTTTTCAATGGACATTTGGCATGTGTCATCAGGAAATGCACGGGGGGAGGGACTAATAACATTGATTCAGTCTGAATTCCAGTTGAGTGAGACATTTCCTGGGCCCAGGTGTTGTGTATTCTAACTCACAGGCACACAAAACTAAACAGAGCCATAATTAATGTCATTAATCCCACGTGTGCTTCTTCTGCAATGACAAATCACATTGGCTCTGCTTTTGCTGAACACAGAACATTGCTCACTTTCACAATATTCAGAAAAGTGTCTCGTGTTAGAGAATGAGGATGAAGGATTAAAGCAACACAATGGAAGAACTGCTCTCTGCTACACATGGGAGGCGTAATTTACTGTTGTAAATACAAGTTGCAGTTTAAGCCTTTATATGCAGAGGTACATATGGAAAAGAAACTGGGGATTTTAGAAGCCAAAGTGGACTAACAAGGTAGAGTAATGTTAAAGGATGTGGCAGAAATATGATGCATGATTTTATTTGTCGTGATATAGAAGATGAAAACTAACAAAATGAATACAAAGCATCAGTATATAGGCTACAATACATATACTATATTTGTCCCACAAGCGTTTCATAATGGGAATAAAATCTTTCACACAAGAAAAAAAACACTACCTTACCTACCAATCATCTGCAGCACCAGGTTATTTAAATGTCCATACATTTTTTCCATCCTCGCCACTTGTACTAACTCTCCCTATGAAATATATCATCATGATTTTTTATATATATATATATATATATATATATATATCATTTTCCCACTCACATCCGTCCTAAGAGTTTATCACCCTGACACCTCTGTGGACATGCATGACAGGAGATTTTGGTAAAGCTTTTACAACATGAAAAAATCATCCGCTGTCCACAAATAGGGTACCAGTCACACTAAGAGCCTAGAGCTGGTCATTGGGGAATAAGAGCCTAGAGCTGAAAAAGATAGAGTGAAGCAGAGCGACACTGGCTGGCTGTGCATGTGGTATGTGTATGGGGTGTCTTGCTAGCTGGAGTGTAAAGAACTGAATGTGTTTGTGCAGCATGTGTCAGTTGAGTGCTAGCTTGCAGATTTTGTAACGTGTTTCACGCTTCGCCAGGCACTTCCTGTGGTGCAGAATGCTGCTTCTTACTGATCTGTCTTCCCAGCACGGCAGGGGGTTAGACAAATACTGGGCTCTGAGCATCGCTTCAACTTTCCACCACATAGCATTCAAGCTATCTGCATTAGGCAGTACTACCTGTATTTCATGCTATAAACGTCATTAAATGTCAACATTTTTGTTTGGGAATTATCACAAATACCTGATGTTGACAATCTGATTCTAAATATGAATACAGTGATAAAGAATGTCTTTTTCCCTGAAAGGAATCTGGCAGGCAGTGGCTCTTTTTCTGCTAATTTTCCAACAAAACATGAACCAAGTGTCCCATTGTATATTTTCGACAAATATTTATCTGTGCACCACTGATAGTCTTAAATAACATTCCTCCAAAGAGGCTTGATGAACACCAACCTCTGATCTCATTGACCTTAGAGTTATCTTGACCTACTTGCACATTTCATCCATTGTTAATATATTCCTTCACCCAGCAGATGCACTGAAGCAGATACCAAGGCTTAAAATAAAATGATTTCACTCTGCTGGTTGTGCTTCATCAAAATAACATAATTTGACTTCAATTACCACTGAACTCAAAAAGGAAAATTAAAGTTTACTTTGGTCATTTCTGGTCCATAAAATGAAGTATGGTGCCCAAAATGTCATTTAAGAATAAGAAATATGGTTATTTCAATGCAGGTGTGTAGACAAAACACCAGTGAGATGCTAATGATGAGGAAACAGCCTTACTTCTCCAGCAGCACAGGAGGTCTGCTCATGAGGGTGATGCGTCTCCAGTACCAGATCATGATGATGAGGATGCTGGGTGTGAGGACCGTCTTCATGGCAAACCAAACTTTTGTGAAGCCTCCATTCTGGTGGATGCTCTTGAGAGGGGGGGGCAAACAAGGTAAGTGTTAGGTAATCTTGTTTTTAAACGCCAACACCACATAGGTCAAGGGCTTAATTTGTCACAGCTGAATCTGATCCTGAATAGTGTGGATTAACAATATAGAGGCAAAATGAAAACTTACAACAAGACGAATGTCTTTGATTTCTCCGATCCCCACGTTGACCTTCTTTCGCTCATTGACAGGCAGGCGGATGTTGAGAAGATAGTACTTATGGGCCACACTACCCACCTCCATGAAGGGCAGCAGGTCACACTCATAGTAGCGTCCCTCATTCTCAAAGTTCTGGAAAATACACAGCAAAACATCTGGTTCAGCAACACAGCGTATGCTTCAAATGCCTTTAATAATTTGAAAACCACAGCTCCCATGATTTAATAAAATGTGCTGAAGCTGCAAAAAATTTAATCAAAATAATTTTCATTGCTACAGCAGCAGGCATCTCCACCCAGAGGAAACCGTCAGACAATATTAAGGAATATTAATAGTGACTAAACATATCCCAACGTAATAGAATAATCGTGTTAGTTTACCTAAACATAAAGGTGAAAAAGTCATTTCCTCACCTTGATAGTGCTAAAGTTGCAGCTAAGTTTCCTCTGTTCAAATGAGTGAGCCATCTCTGTCCACTCACTGACTGTGTCGTCTCTGTAGGCCACACCCACGTCGATGGTGACCAAAGCCCCATCCTCTGGAAACAAGAGTTAATAGGTCGATTTACTTTCAGATCAATTCTACAATTGGTCAATAGATAGTTTGTTTAAGGAGTTTAACATATGTCAATAAATATATTCATAATTCATTCAAAGTGCATACTGTGTTGTTTAAGATATAAGATGGAAAAATGCTTTGAATAACATTCCGATCCGTGTGTATTTTGATGTGTTACACATATAGGCCCAACCCTGCTGCTTGTTATTATCCCTGTGACAGGATAAAATGAAGTCCTGACGACAGGTAGCCATGGCCTTTTCACTCTGAGACCAGCTAAAATAAATGCTAGCACTCACATGGAGACATTCAGTGCAAATGTGTCCAGTTCATTTTCAGGTAACGTGCAAATGTTTCACATGTTAATGTCCTCCAGAGTGGAACAATGTAAAGCCGATGAGGATGACATTTATTTGGTTTAAATAAGTCATAGTTGCATGGCTGCTGCTCAAAGTTTAGTCTGTTTTTAGCTTCATTCAGAAATCTGGATTTTCAGTGGTACTGACATTGGCTAGTTTTTTCTCAAACAAACGTGTTTATACAAGGTCAAATTATTGGAGAGTTAATATGTGGTACAGACCCCTGGAATGAGTCAGATTAATAGGCTTATTCCCTGCATGTTCACATAGTCTGTGATTCAGTCTGCTCTCCATGGTGGCCCAAATCTAGGTTACTTCCTACTTGACATAGACTTCAACAACACCTTGCACTGGCCTCCAACAAAAACATCCAAAGCAAAGCTATTAAAACTGCATCTTTAGATCACATTACAAAGCCAAGTGTTCTCTCCTACAGCCCTCCAGAGAGCCTCTTGTATGAAACAAGCTGGAATGAAGAGAAAGAAACCCAGTGGCCTGTGCTGTAAGAAAGAAAAAAAAAAAAGAGAGGAGAGGCAGGGGGAGAGGGAGCCAGATGAAAACTGGCAGCCGAGTGTCTCTGTAATGCTGTTCCCTCTGCCATTGGTTGAGCCAGACGCCCTCGAATGTCAGCTTACTTCATGCAAACATTCCACTTCAGTCCAGCGGCCATCGCCACAGAAACTAAGCCTCCTCAACAGCTGTGTTATTGCTGGACTTCAGCCAATGGGTGCTTGGTGCCGACGTGGAGTGGAGCGGGTGGTGGAGTGGTTAATAAAGGCAAAGCTCTTTTGTATGAACATTGCAACACAGATAAGGTAGCCAAGGAAGAGACAGCCTTGTATTTTTCATACAGCTGCAGAACAGATCCCACCTTCCTCTGGCACTGAGGTGTCCTGGCCAGTATGGAGACAGATACCCTGATAACATTTTATCATTGTGAAAGACCTGGCTGCAATATTTCTGAGGTCTGCGTTTGATTTGGATTTTGCTGAATCTGAATACTGCATCTCAGGTTAAGAAATCCAAAAACTTTTAATATTCATTCTAAGTACTAGAATATAAATGGAAATTACCAGACAAAATAGGAAAATGATGGGAATGATTTGTACATTGCACTGAACAAGAGGATATTTTTGGGGTCTTTAAAAGCTTTAAATTAGGATACTAATTCTTTTGATTTTCATTTTGCATTTGCTTTTAAATGATCAGAAGCCAGACCAAAAAAATGCTAATCATTTTACCTGCCATGTGTTCCCTGATGCAGACACTAAGTTGTGCACTTTATCTTTTACTTTAATATTTGATATGCTTAAAATCCAACTTAAGTATCCTATTGCCCTGTCTTCTTCTAGCCTTGTTGTGGAGTTTTAAGCGAGACTCCCACTTGCACAGCAGTGGTGTCTACTACTTGCTGTTTATAGTGGTCCTTCTACAGCTTGTTCTCACAGCACCTCTTGTAGCTCACACAGATCAAAATGAGTTTGCTGCACCTGGCAGAAGGTTGAATAGCTGACTGTCTGTCAGCCAGGCAGACAATAAACTACAGTCCCTGAACATATTTTTACTGAGGCCAAGAATGTGAACAAGCCAACGATGCTGACACGACTGTTTGTCAGTGCGGACATGACTATAAAGCTCTGAAGCTCAAGTTGACATCATACCTATCTAAACATTATAAGCTTTAGATCGAAGACTCAAGACTTCTCTCCCAGGCTTTCCTGGTGATCCAGTCACTTATTAGGCATTCTCATCATCCTCTCTAATCCTCTCATTCAGGACTCTGCCAGGATACTAAACCCTTTTCTACAAGATACCAGTTATCTCCTTCCTCATCCACCCTTTCCTCTCACTCAGGCAGTTCAACACCCTGAGATGCTGTAGGTTGGTCTATACACTGTTCAACAACATGGCAAATATGACTATTTAAACATTGGACACCGGGAGGGGAGTGACAAGCTGAAATGACACCACACAGGAGAGAAAATTATGTAAATTCTGGTGTACACAAGCACACGCAAGGATGGGAATGGCAGGTATAAACTAGGCTTAATAGGACAGTGCATTGCTTAGAGTCAGCCAGCTATGAAACAGGTCCAGATTACCTCTCTCCTCCCCCATTATACCTGTATAAAGGGTCTCTGACAAGCCCATCTACAACCCCCCCCAAGGGTTTATGGGGCTACAGAGAACAAACAGCAGGACATCCATCATTGTTTGCTGCCTTTATGTGCCACAGAAATCCAATCTTGTGACAAATACACATTCCTGGGAAGTGTTTGCTACAATAAACTGAAATTCAGTCACAAGACAGCATCCTACCAGGACACTGTGTAGGGAAGGTAATATAACAAACATGCTAAAGTTGTAATGTGCACTTGAATTTATGATGTGAGAGATTAGAGGTGACAATGGCTGTGAATATTTCAGAGACAAGCTTGGTCTCATTAAGCCACTGCAAATATTTGCCCTCAGATGCTGGACCTACGAAATAATCGAGCAACATATTATTGACACAACTGGAAAAAAATCTCAGCACTGAAAAAACATATCAGTGCGTTTGTATGTATAGGGAATTCTAAAATACATGCTCAAAACTTCATTTAACCAGGTAATTTTTCTTTGTAGATTATCACAAACTATTTCGGTGCTAAAACACCAAACCCCCCTCTAAGTCTAAGTAAATACATGTGCACATTAGCATAGCCTTTCTTCTCTCTCCTACATCTCCACAACCACGTCCCGGAGGAGAAACATGAGCCATGTTGTGTTACTCATATGTAAGCATTGGTTCTCACCTATTTGGTTGTGCAGCTTGAAAGCAATGTCAAACTGCAGGATGACCAGCATGAACTGGAACCAGGGGCTCATCTCCTTGTGAGGCAGAGGAATGTGGACAGCAAATACAATGTTGTTAGCTTCAATCTTTTTGGCCATGGCCTCATCAAAGCTCCGGATCTTAGCACACTGGTCAGGACCCCAAGGCATGAACCATTTTGATTCCTGACGGTGCTTGACTGTGTCAATGCACTTGCTGGCTAAGTAGTGGGCCGCTGTGGTGGGGCTGGGAGCTGTTGAGACAAATACAAAGAAGGAGACAAGTTAGGCTGGGTGTCATGTTGAAATACTGCAGCAAAGTGTTTTGAGGTCCTGCCAAGCTAAAGTTCCCCTCAAACTAATCAATCACGCAAAAAGTTGGAATAAAAATCACTAGAGCACTGTGGATTAAACTGTGCATGGACAATATAAATATCTTAGCAACCATTAGGAACAGTCAACAGGTTGGGTTCCAGCCAAATCCAGTCCAAACACTTTGGAAATTACTTTTAACACTGTTTAGAAAATGCATGCTAGCCAGACTCTCTCTCACTGAAGTGATGAGGAGGGAAATTCCTGAAAGAGCTCAGGCACCAATTACACTGTTACTCATTGAGATTCATGAGCTTGACAAGACTGGTGTTTGTAGTCTCTACCCACAGGATCTCATGAGTGCTTGGGAAAAGATCTATCATTATCATGAGAACACAAAAAACTTTGGTTGCCCATTGTTACAGCTGGAGGCCAGACGTGAACAACATCATAGAGATGTGATGTGAGAGTCGAGGTGCAGCCTCAAAGCAAAAAGAAGAACAAGTTTTTTTTTTTTTTACTTTTTCCCCCCTTCATTTCTGATATCGATTACATCAGACATTGACAACTTGAGATCAAGTCTTTAACAGTAAAACCACTGAATAAAACTTACACCGCCTCCAGTGTTCAGGACACATGAGGTTTTTTTGCATTGTGTGGTGAAACACAATCACTGCAGTCAGTTGGAGATGCCAAGTTCAGCTGATAATTAAAACATTTTTTTTCCACCTGCATTTCTTACTGCATATTATTTTAATGGTGGCTAAAACATGCCTGGATATTAAATCAATGTTTTATGTGCCGCATCCCACAAACCACATGTACATTTTCAGACATAAATGGACTTCATATATGAAGGGCAAACTCCAGAAAATGCCCGATTGAGCTCGGACCCCAGCAGGAAGAGACTGATGGGGTCCGATGCCCGGATCAGATTGTCTGGACATTTTCTGGAGTTTGCCTTTCATATATGAAGCATGTTGCATACCTTCACAAAGGTCTAACAGTCCCCTTAAATACAATCAAGCCATACTAAATTGCACAGATTCATAGATATCAGTGCCCTAAATATGCCAGATTATTTCATCAAAAACTGTTATTATTCCCAGGGAAATAGGCAAAAAAGCTCTATCTCACAATGTTAAAGAGAGTGACAACAAACATTTGATGATACAAGTTGCAGCCTTTCTTTGTATATGACAGAAAACTAAGTATGAAGTGAATACTATTCTGCTGGTTTGGGGACAGTTGATTGAACTAAACAAAAACCTTTAAGACATCACTTTTGACTCGTGCAAACCGTAGTGGTCACATTCAGTTTTTCAAATTTATAAACCAAAGAATCAATCAAGTCCATTCAAACAAATCCATCCATTAGTCACCAGATTTATCCATCAAAAAGCCTCAAATTCCACTAAAAATTGCAAAACAGCCTGAAGCTAAAGGTGCAGTCAAAAATGTGTCTGAAAAAGAAAGAATGGGATAAATACCAATACCCTTTCTATGCAGGGTGCTAATGAGAAGAAGTGACTCATGAGCCTGAGCATGAAAGCCAAGAAATTTTCAGACTCAGCCCATGAAAAAAGATTGTGACATATCTAAGTAGACTCAAAGCTCTAATCACTGTCAAAGCTGCCTCTAGCAAGCCGTGGTGGTGAGGAGTAATACTTTCAGCTAGGAGATTTCCTAGTTTTCCAAAGGTATGCTGCCCATAATGGCAAGAAAACTGTAAAAGAAATCAACACTAAAAAGGTATCACACTAGTTTGAACCTGCACACAATAACCTGGTTACTTATCTGTCCATTATATCATATCTGTTCACTAGTAAAGAGTGGAACCCACCTATAGTTTACACAGTCATAAAACCTGACAAGGGTTGTCTCCATGAAACCTTCAAGTGTCAGTTGTGTAAAACTAAAATATACCATGACAAACAAGATACACCCAACTGAATTAAATCCAGTTATCTGGAACCTGTTGATGTTCAATAATCTAGTGACCCTGTGAGTCCAGCTGCAAACCGGCTCCTTCAGTATCCATTGCAGCGTGTCCAGAATAATGGCCGTCCCCTCAGCCCGCTGACCCCATGCCGTGTTCCCGGGTTTGTCGGGAAACAAGGGGAGAGAAACCTCTTTCTACTCAATTACCCCTGCCGCCCCCGGCCACCGAGCAAACACAAAGGAATCTGGCTTCATTAAAACCATCTCAGCAAGGAACGAACCGAACATGCTAATTTAACGCCAGCCATGGAGTGAGTTAGTGAGCAAGAGGTACTGCAGAGACACGAGGAGACGCTGATGTTCAGTGTCTGTGAATGGTTTCCAGATCCAGCCCATAATAAAGATGGCCATCTTTCGCATGGACTCAACTTCTCTCTGTGTGTGAGTGTGTGTGTGTGGGTGGATTTGAAGAAACTTGACAGCAACTTCAATAAAGTCCTCCAGGCAAAATGCAACTTTGACATCTGTGCATGTGTGTGTGCGTAAGTTTGTGTGTGTGCGTGTACCACTGTCTGTCTCAATGCAACTGAAAAAACCAGGGGAAAGAGGGGGAAGAGGAGGGAACACAGAGGACATGAATGTGCTGCCTGCGAGGCTAAAGGGATTTGGGAAAACGGGAGACACGCAGGGGGGGGGAGGAAGGAGAGAAGGGAAGGTAGAGATGCTGCCTGGGGGCCCCACACAGCAGACAGACATTAAACATGGGAGGAGGAGGTGGAATGGGAAAGTTGGGGGATAGAAGTGGGAACAAGAAGTGCAAAAAACATGCAGAAAAGGGCAAGCATACATTTCATGCTTTGACTTCTTCAAACTGGCTGGTTGCTGCTTTTCCTTGTCTTATATGACGGTCAATAAAGTGTAAATCAGTAAATAACAGGCTTATATCAGGGGTTTGGACAAAACAACAACTTCAAGACATCACTGTGGACTCTGGGAAATTGTGATGGTCACTTTGAGGAAAAGGTCCCCAGATTAATCAACAATGAAAACAAGCAGATGTTTGAGTACACTGAAACCATTAAAGATGGTTCCTGGACCAAAAGTGAAGAAGCAGGTGAGTGAGGCAGACAACGAAATGTTACTACACGTCAGAAAACCAGAACAAAACATCTGACGTTTCACAGTTCGGAGTGTGAAGGTATTTGTGTGCACCCCCCCACAAGAAAGCACCTTGAATCCCACTACAGACGGTGGAAGCTGAAGACAGCAGAAGATGCTGCTGTTGATAAAGAACAGGGAGAATGTGTCCTGTGGTATTTCCAGCCGAGGGAAGCGGAGGCATGCGGACAGGCTGCGAACACCTTGATACAGAGCAGTGATTTAGCGGAGGTGCTCCGGTTTCAGAGCACCGACATTGTTCCCGAGAAAAAGCTCAAAACACGGTTAAAAGTTAGCGCTTACCGCCTTTTGTTTCTGGAGGGGAAGAAAACCCTGTTTTATCTCCGCTGGTTTAAAAACAACAAGTTCAAACTTTCGACGTTTAAACTCAAAGAGCCACGAAAGACGCGCTAACTGACGCGTTAGCTAAAAGAAGTGCTCCTAGAAAGTCAAGGGGAGAGAACTCACCAATTAAACCGCCGACCATGAAGGCAAACGCCTGGAACAGCAGCAGAATAACTCCCACTATCACCAACTTTTTGGTGCTCATGTTCTCGATAATGGCCCCCGCCATGGCGCAGCAGAGGCTGGCGGTGAAACACCGTCTATCACACAGCGATAATGTGTTGGAGAAGGGGGGCGAGAGCGCCGCATCAACGGAGGAGCAGGAAGGCAAACTGGGCCCCTTCACCGCTCTGCTCCTGCCTTTCAACTTCCAGGGAGGAGGAGGAGGAGGAGGAGAAAATAAAAAGCAGGGATCACATGACCGAGCAGAGCGGAGCTTTATCCCCCAGAACAGGCGACAGGCTCGGGGGGGAGCAGCTCCGTGGAGCCTGGTAATGCAGGTTGAATTCCTCTGTCCAACCTTCACAGGGCTATTTAAAGGAAGATGTCCGGGTCCCATCTCATGCTTTAGTTGTGCAATACCTGTCAACACATTGTCCCTCAACAGCCACTCTGGGAATAGATGTTTAATGTGTGTGTGTGTGTGTGTGTGT